GGGGGGGGATCGAGGGGAGTGTTTGCACTCACGTCTGTACAGCGAGAGCGACGAGTCAATGTGAGTCCTTGCCACGTCGGTGCATGAGTCATCCCTACTCACGCGACTCGACAAGAGATCCCGCTGCACAAGCAAGACCAGCAGGCTCACTCGTGCCTTTCTCGTATGCGAAAACGAGAAAGATGCTGCTCAACACCCACGCTCTGTCGGTAAGTGGAACGCCTTCAAGCCTATCTTCGTATCAGCCAGCCGCGAGTAGGAGATTCGCGTGATTGTCGAGCCTAAGCCACTTTGAAAGTCGTCATTGTATGCTCGTATTCAAGAGACTAGCCCCACTCTAACTTTCGGAGCGGCACACGCACATTCATCTTGCAGTCATGAGTGCACTGTCCGCAAACGAGGCTCCTTACAAGTTCACCCCCATACGAACCCGAAGCCCAGGGACGATCTGGTTTCAGCTCATCGTGACGCATCTACGCATGACAGCTTGCCGAACCAAGGCCGCGGTCGAGGATGATGAAGCATTGCAAAAGCCTCGCGAGGGCATATCATCACGTGATGGATCGCTGGCGGGGCTGTATATGCGCGCGCGCTCTTCAGCAGCTGGAGTTTACCCGCGGCGCAAAAAAGAGCAAGCATCAGTCGCTAGAAGTGAAAGAAAGGGGGAACATCTTGAACATCTAGAAGACTGCGACGTTTCTTTTCTCACCTCGATGCTCTTTTGAAAGCGAAGCTGAAGGAGATGGAAGTGTAGGACAGCATGGGACTACATCATTGCCGCGAGAGGCAAGCCGTGGACTGGAGAGACGAATTCGTCGTACCATCATGAAAGTCATGAGACCAAACTCCACCAGGCCAGGCCCACCTCTCTATACGTGAGGTGGATCAGTGTGAGTGAAGCACTACTCACTCAAGACCAAAGCGATGATCCAGATGGCGCGATCGCAAACGATTCAAAATGTGCGTTGCGCGTGTGCGTATGTAGATCCGCTCTGACCATGCACGCGGTCCATTGAGCACGCGCGGTGCAACCACGAGCGCGACTGCGACTGCGTGGCTTGTGCGGCAGATTCGCCGTCGATGCAGCACAGGTCGCGCAGTC